ACTTAACCGTGCTGATGAGTTGTGATACAGCGAAACGGGTCCACGGATGGTCCGGCAGAGAGAAAACACTTCTTAGTCGGTCCTTATAATTGGTCCGTTACCTTAATTGAATATAATATAAAGCCAAGATTTACATACGTCTTCGGGCCAATATTGGTAATTTCAATTGGCTCTATATTGCATAAAGTTCTTGATATGATATTGATTATTTCTTTTTGGGCCAACATTTGGTTACGTTATTGTACCAACGTTGGTATTTGTTTTTGGGTATATATTGACATACGTTCTTGGACAAATATAGCAGAATGTCCACATCTTTTATTGGGCCAACATAGAGAATCTGACTTGGGCCAATAAATCGTAGTTATTGTCCCAATATTGGCCCAACATGGGAGTGCTACTTGGGAAGGCCTCGCAAAACAAGATGCATCAGTCGCTCAAACATAACTGGAGCATTACACAATCCGAAAGGCATCACGATAAAGTGGTATAACCCGCTTCCGATACTGAAGGCAGTTTTCTCCTTGTCATCTTTGTATATTGCCACTTGCCAGTATCCACTCCTAAGATCCAAGGTGGTACGCCATTTGGAGTCTGATAGAGTTGTTAATGTATCATCTATTCTCGGGAGAGGGAAGCTGTTGTGCTTGGTGACCTCATGAGGCTTACGGTAGTCCACACAAAATCGAAGACTCCCATTTTTCTTTGTAACTAATACTACTGGCGCAGAACATGGACTATTCAACTCTTCAATAATTCCCTCTTGAAGCATTTTATCAATTTGGTTTTCCACTTCCTGTTGTTTAGCTACTGGCATACGTCAAGGTGGTTGTCTAATTGGGTATGCCAATCCAGTATCAATTTTGTGTTGGAGTAAACTGGTCTGTCTGGTTTGATTATCCATCACAGATACGTCTGCTTCTTTCAAGATGAAGTCTGTGGCTTCTTGAAGTCTATCTGGATCGAGGTGTTTCTATGATATCTTCAAAGTCTGCATCAATTTCTCTGTATCCAATTTCGGTTTCACAAAATGTGGTTTATCTGGTAGGTCACAGTTTGAAATTTGCTCAACTGGTTCGAAAGTTCCAATAATATCTCCTTTTATTTTTACTGTTTAAGAAGAAACATTGCCAATTCTTATTCTAATGTCTCCATTTAATCTTACTAGAGTCTTTCCAACGGAAATTTTTCTGGTTTATCTTCAATGAAATTATTTGTTAGTCCAACGCAGCACCCAGGTCCAGGGCGCAAAAGTTTTTCGTACCTATCAACCGATGACCTGGCATGTTCCACTTCCGCTTTCGCTTGCCTATTTAGAACAGAATAGTCAATTTTCGTGGGCTGGGGGGGAGTATGAAAAAGTATTAGTATCAGGGGGGCTTTATTTGGAATGTGCAATTCAAATTCGTATCAGTAAGTCGGAATTTATGCGGTGGTATACCGGCAAAAATTGCGACTTACTGAGACGCATTTGAATTTCAGGAGAAATTATTATTGTGTATTTTATGTTGCGTTTTTGATGTTGTCCAAATCAGCTCATAACTTTTTACCAAGAAAACGCCGATAAGCCGATATTCAATTTAGCTTCGTCATAGTTTCGTAATTTTATTGCGTCCTGTCAATTTGACAACATCGCACGGAAGCAACATTGTATGGTGCAACCAATATATGGAGCAGACAAGGTTGCAAAAAAAAAAAAAAAAATCAAATTTAAAATCATTTTACATACATTATCTTTATATTTTAGTCTTTTTACATCTTTCTATATCAATATTATATCCAATATTTTCCTATTCAAAGCAGAGAGTAAGCAATTGACAAAAAACCTCAATTATACTTGACTGACGAAGGTAATAAAAGTTACCGAAAGCTTTCAAAAGTAAAAAGAGACTCTTATTGATGCCTTAGAAACTGTAAAAGAATTCAAAACTTGGCTGCAACCCTATAAACTTCAATTTTTCATACTTTGTATATATATATATATGTATTTTTCTTTGGAAGGCTTCCTATATGTATTTATTATTCACAACCAACTGGTATGACATAAAAGTTTGTATGCACCACGGGTACTAATAGATAATATAAACCCTCGGGCGGTTACGAACCCTCGGGCCAGAGGCACTCGGCTTTGTAAGACTGCCGCCCTCAGGGCATAATCATCTACTTACTACCCTTGATACATAAATAACTATTGTAAATGAACGATTTCTTCAATAATATATCGCTTTGAATTTACTTAATTTTTATTTTTATATTAGAACGCCCTCGTAGAAAATAGTAGTTTTCCTAATCAGTGCGCAAAGTTATGTTTTCCCGCACGCGAAAGCAGTTAGACGAACGACGCGAAGCGGAGTTCGGATAAGCTTTAAGTGCGGGAAAACTACTTTGCGCACGTGTTAGGAACAATATTTTTTCTACGAGTGAAATAACTATACCCTTTTTAAATTTTTAATTTCTATAGGCATCAAAACCAACAATTTGTTGTAACTAACTACATATATCTAAAACGGCCAAAAAAAATTTCGGCCTCCTCTCGGCGGGGCTTTCCCCCTAAAAAAGGGGGCCCGCGGGGCTGGGCTCCCGCGGGACTCCGACCCCCAAATATGAGGCCCTCGCAGCCAAATATAGGGCTCTCGTGGGGCTTCGCCCCCTAAAAAGGGGCCACCGCGGGGCTGTGCCCCTCAAAAAAGTGGCTCCCGGGGGGCTCTGCCCCCAAATATGGGGCACTCGCAGGGCTTTGCCCCCCAGATAGGGGGTCCCCAGATTTTATTATGGTTACCAGAAAAAAAAGTGTGCGGGAAATTTTTTTTCCCGCATAGTGTGCGCAAAATAGTTACTTTGCGCACACTTTTGGGAAAGGGCTTCTTTGCGTACGCAAAAATGTGCGCAAAGTAGTTACTTTGCGCACACTCGTAGAAAAAATAATGTTCCTTACTCATGCGGAAAGTGTCTTTCCCGCACTCGACTGCTCGCGTCGTTCGGGTCAACGGCAGTCCCGTGCGGGAAAGTATCACTTTCCGCACTTGTTAGGAAAATAACTATTTCAGAATATAGTAGTGGGTGCGTTAATTTTGCTGGCCAGTGTAATTAATAATTTCGTCGTCTTCCTCCACTTCTGAAAGCAAAAGGGCTAGTTTTCTCTTCATGATGCACAACTAGATGTTCGTGGACGCGACAGCGCGACGGTTGGCGGCTAGCCAAAGAATACATGACAAGAAGGCGTTCAACGGTTGCAGTCGACGGCGACCGTCGACAGCGACCGTTGACGGCTCCAGCGAAACCGTACCTAGAGACAAGCTCTCAATTACATGGATATAGATAGATGCATATAAAATGTCTGCAAGCTGACTTAGTAGTTCGTAGAAATACAGTAAGACTACTCTTACTGAAAGAATTAGATCCAGAGGGAGAGTCTTTGCGCAGAACACGACGACTGCGAAGAAACCAATATTTCAATAAGGGGCCAAACTTCTTGTGGCATATAACAAAATTTGGTCAAAACTCGATTCAAAAGTGGTGCATTAGGATGTGAAACGATCTGTAGAATCCGAAAAACCAAAAATAGACAGTGTGTGCCATTTGAAAATCAAAAGTTCCGGTCATTTCCGGTGAAACCGGAAGTCAGGAAAACTTGTCATAGAGCATAAAAATGGCATTTGGTTAGAATATCAACCCTACCAAGTTTCGTTGATATCGATAAACAAATAAAAAATGGTAGCTGGAAAGTAATCTTGTGGGCACCCGGTAGATGGTTACGATAAATTAAAACCGGTATTGCCATAAGTGATTGTATTGATGGATACTCACGTCACATTATATGGTTAAAAGAAACATGCGGAGGATGTCCAAGAACCATACGTTCAGATATGGGAACTGAGAATCTTCATATTGAACATATGCAGACTTTTACAAGAAGTCGATATTTTGGAAATCGACGTTCGTTACCAGCAATCATTTATGGCACGAGTCAACATAACCCGCGAATTGAATCCTGGTGGAGCATACTTCGGAGAGAAAATGCTCAGTACTGGACGAACTTGTTTGAGGCTTTGAAAGACGAAAATCTTTTTAACGGCACATTTGTTGACAAATCTCTGGTCCAATTTTGCTTCTTACATTTAATACAGGTGGGTACAAATGTGCAGTAACGATTAAAGTCAAAGAAAGTCACAGAGGTCTATACAATGCCAAAACATTCTTCAGTGTCCCGAATTAAAAATACCACCTGATAACAGAAATTAAATTTTTGTCATACGCTCCCAAAAACAGCTATTTTACGGACTCATTCAAGTCCGTAAAATGCTTCTTTTCAGGATTTTTTTTTCTTCCTGGATGCACCTTTACGATTTCAAAAATTAAGGAAATTTTGCAAATTTTAGCGTTCTAAAGAATTCTAAAAAACATATAAAAAATTGGTCTGCCTGAAGCCCGATTCTCGTCTTAGGGAGTAGAGCTCCCCGATAGAACGAATGTTTTGTCCTTTTCAATGTAATCGAAAAGTAAACTTGAATGATAAAGTCGAAAAATTTGTTTTATCGAGGAACTCTACTACTCCTTGAGACGAGAATCGGGCCCCTGGGGTCTCTGCGTCTCGTTTCAGGAACTTTTGACGTTCCCTCGAATCCGAACAGAATATGTCTGTGGTCTGACTCTGACTCTGACAGAGAGTCTTTCTAAGACCGAATGGAGGTTGGTGATTTTTGGGTGAAGTAGTGTGCTACACAAAGTTAGGTCTATGACTGACTTACGCCCTGTCGTGAAGAAGGTTGACACCGAACCTTTATTTACGATGTCCAGGTCGCACGAGTGGAGGTACTTGAGAAGACCCCCTCCTCTGGGGTCGACGTTCTCACTTCCCCAAACCGTGTTATGGGAATTTGAGTCGCATCAGTTGATCAATGGGAGTCTCAATGTTCTGCACTCCTACACGAGCGCGACGATTTCCCTTGCAAAGTGCATATTCCATTCCTATTATTCTCTAAATTAAAATCTCATTTGATTTATAAAGTGCGCATTTTATTTATCTCAAAAATTTGTACACAAACATCTGGCAAAATATTAAATATAAACTTACGTACCTACTTAGTAAAAAATGTACTTCTAGTAAAATTTATTCAAAGGCAATTCGTTTTGATTATTGAACATCAGTCTAGGAAAATTGTCAAAAAATACATGCATTGCAAAAAAAAAAATTCCTACCCAAATGAACTTTTCAGGGATGATAGGGGGCGGGTGGGTTATCATAAAACCGAAGATATCACACATTCACCCCTCTGGCGTTTTGCGCTATAGGGGTTGAAGGTGCGCTATTGGCGATTACTTGGTTCCTATTGATTTTACAAAAAAATGTTCCAAATAAAAGATGTGCAACATTATTTGATCAACAATGTTTATCTAAAGACTTTTTTGATTAAGGGCCGTCTGTGGTCATAAGGGCCGTTTGAAACTTATAATGAAAATATAAAATTTCAACCAACGTGAAAAAAAACTCTACAAGAAATACAACGTTTTTGCTTTATAAGGTTTTTACTCACCCCCTGCCATTTTTCAATAGGGGTAGTTTTAGGTTTTTTTATTTTTTTACAAAAAAAAGTTTTATAAGATTACATTTTCTACAATTTTTCCTTATCAACTTTTTTTGTAACTCACCCCCATTCAGCGGGGAAAATCAACAATTTTCCTAGACTACATCTGGCAAAGAACCACAGCATTATAATTCAAAAAAAGTATAAAAATTAAATAAATATCTTACATGTATCACTTATGCAATGGTAAACACTAGAAATGTAGGGTAAGTATCAGTGTGCTTTATATACTTAAAGTAAAGGTAAAAATAAATACAAACAAGCAAATTAGATTTGCTCTGAGATAAATCAAAAACTGGGCATTGCTTTACAATAAAACATTTTCCTAAGTCTAATTTGTTAAAGTCTATACGAAGTTACTTGGACGAGGCCTAAAATAGTGGTCTGGTCAATATACTGCATCAGCTATTGAAAAATATAGCAAAATTTATAGTGATTGCTCCTCGTTATCGTTGGAAGCTAGACAAGTAGGGATGGATAGATCTTGGCTTCTTGTACACGTTCGATGCTAGTCAACGTGGACTCGATAGATCTGATTGGCCATTGCCGATTTTTGATTGGCCGACATACTGCTTTTGTTCATACTGCTTTTGTTCATTCCGCTTTGTGGGGCGACATGATTGTCGGTATGAGAGACAGTGCAGTACATTTCCTACTCTATACGTTTACAACTTCAAATTGAGACTTATCAGAATCAAATTGAGAACAAACATTTTCAAATTGAGACTTAAAACAATCAAATTGAGAACAATCAATTTCAAAATGGTACAACATCCGTTTCCATGTAATTGAACGTTGTACCAATTTGAAATTGATTGTTCTCAATTTGATTTTGTTTAATCTCAATTTGAAAATGTTTGTTCTCAATTTGATTCTGATAAGTCTCAATTTGAAGTTGTAAAGGTATAGTTTGTTCGATAAGTTTGTTTATTAATTTAAGTAGTGTCTTTTGAAATTACGCCGCCCATGTTTAACAAAGAAAAAGCGGACTTATGAGGGGATTTAGTTTTTATACTAGTCCAAGTGACTTCGTATAGACTTTAACATATAAAGCATTTATGCGAAAAATATTTTCTAAATGTTAGTAAAAGCAAAGAATAAATTTTGAGATCAGAATTAACACGATACTGCAAAAAACATCATAATAATACTGCAAAAAAAAATATTTATAAAAAAAAGGAACAAATGTAACCGAAAAAAAAAACATAGAAGTAAATTATTAAAAGAACAAGAATCACTAGTGCACTCAATAGCCGACAATATGGTGATTATTAGGGATTCTAAGGATAATACTATGATTGAAATTGTTAATGAAGATTATAAAATAAATACATTATTCTGTAAATATTGGACGGAGTTCCTACAACATTCGACACCGCCATATTGTCAACTAATAAAAAAAATAACCTAAACCTAAATCATTGTTAGTTGAAAGTTGCATTTAAAATATCACTGTTTCCTTGGAAGTAAAATACATATGTTCAATAAGGCTATTAAAATTTCTTCGTTGTGTAAATATACCTAATTAAGTTTGTATTGTATTGTTTGCCCAGCGGATCTGCGTCTACGGAAGGAATTCGGAAGTAAATGTGCCATGTTGCCACGTTTATTTATAAAAAAGCGAAAATACTAGGGATGAAGTATAGTTAATTTGAAAATCCATTTTTTAATAACAAAATATTGATACAATAATAAAACGCTAAATATTTTAACGTGGTTGTTAGATCTATCCTTATTTTAATCCTGACTTCTTCAATTTGGTCTATTGTAAAAAATAAACATTTTCTAAAAATACCATCAGCTTTTGACAATTTGGCAAGCATCCGTCCTGGATGAACCTGATTGGTGGAGTTTTTGGCAGGATCGCCGTTGTCATGGGGAACCATACGGTTGTCAATGAGCTAACGTCACCTTACGTCTCGCTATTGGCCAGGGCTCACGTCATTTTATCCTCCCATCTTGGAATATCGATTTATATTGAAATATCCAGTGGCGGAGATTTGGTAATTGCTGATTTTCGTGTACGAGTTGCAATACAATAACACTTCCAAAAAGTTCCGCACGCAGCTGGGTATTTTATGAATGAAATCAGCCATTTTTTTTTGACAACTGCATTCCCCTTACCGTTGCCCCGTAGACACAGATTCGCTGGGCAGACATTATGTATAGGTCTTTCATATAAGATTTCATACACATCCATACTCATACCAAATAGCTGTTTCTTTTGCATTTTTTTCTTTTCTTTCCGCTGTATTTGGTGTATTGGCATTTTCTTCAGGCACTGTTGCAGCCTGAGGTGGGGAGCTTCTTTGAGGAGTTGAAGGTCTACGAATTTGGGAAATGTCAGCTAAAAGAAATTATTAGAAAAATACACTCACAAATAATTTTTAGTACTGGTTACCTCCTATAACATTTGATATCCTGTTATAAACCAATAATGGCGGATTCGAAGAATCATTTTGGTTATTGGTTTGAGGCGTCGATGCATTTACTGGGCCTGTATCGTCTTCTGAAAGGTAAACTGTTCTTCGAGAACCAACTGAACCCAAACTTAAAGCACTGCCTGGTTCTCTATTAAAAACTTGATCACCTAAAAAAGATTATTCTGAATTCCATTCCAAAGCACAAAAACAAAATTAATCTTTTAATTGCTGATTGCAAATTGAATCAATTCTCAAAAAAAGTATTGTCTTTTTATGTATTACTTTTAAATTTAGGCATTAGTAAGTAGCACCAATCAAATCATTCTAAAAATAAATTTTCGTTATTTCTTTTGTTATTTTTTGTCATTTTAATTTAAGCCAAAACATATTATTTTTTTTTTGCCAATATCTAACAAATGTTACCTCTTACAATAGAAGTGTCATTGGTGAACAACAGCACCATACTGGAAATTTCACGTCTTTTTAGATTTAAGACAAATAATTATCAAAATAGCAAATCAATTATTTACCAGCTATACTGCTTCTATGTAAACTAAGATCCCTGTGTGACCTGCGCAATGCGATCTCGTCCCGAGGTTTATGTCCATGCAAACTACCCGTCCCAGAGGTGTTTCTTCTAAAGTTTTCCACAGTATTCGCGTTCCTCTGGTTCCCCATCAAGTCCTCATTGCTGTTGTCCGAATCACGATTATCTGATTCACCAGATCCATTACCCGCCAATGTGAATTGAGATTGGGTTAAACGGGTTGCGTCTTCATGCCAAGAACGACGATTCTAAAAATCATATAATAAACTGTGAATTTAATACACTTTTATCTAGGTTTTCTTACTCACCCTGCTTGGTACCTTGTTGATGATATCTGATCCTGCTTTCCTGACTTTTCTGACAAGTGTAGCGCCAAAACCTTTTCTGAAAATTATAAATAGAATTGTAAAATATATTTGCCAAAATAATCACAGACTACAATAATTGTGTTCTTACTTTTTAGCAGATGCATTGTCCAACTTTCTATAATGCTCCATTATTTTCTCCTCTAGTTTTTCCTTTTGCCTACACAAATTATTAACTTTATCTGCGTACAATTTTTCTTCAGAATGATAATGCTGTTTGTCCTCTAAAGAATGCGTCAAAAGTGAATGGTATTGCGTTAGCAGTTGTGAAACGTGGTCCATCAAAGCACGTCTGTCGGAATCCAGAGAATGGTTCATTTCAAAGAGCATCTTAAAAATTGAACAAGACTTAATATACAACTCATCAGTGATGTAAAATGACGGTCATTTAAAATCGTGACGGTCATTTGCGTCATGACGTGTCATGACGGTCATGACCATGGTCATAGTCCATAGTAATTATTTCAATTTAAAATGCCACTACCTACAGTTTATCGTCTATTAACTCACAAATGGGTTCAACATAAAGAGAGTCAATAATTATTGATTATAAAGTTTTAACAAATTATTAAAGATTCCAGAACAGAAAAAATTTCAACAAATTACAAAATAAGTGAATAAAAGCTATCCTAGCCTAGTGGGTAAAATAAAATAACAAAAATAATAGTTATTCACCTAACAAATGCAGAAGTGATACTTTACTGCAAGTAACGGTAGTCTTAAAGTGCGGTAAAGGCAATTTCCACATGTGTTAGGTACAAAATTATACCTATGAGCATCTCATCATGCCAAAGAAGACATTATTGAAATTTTTGAACAATAAGGGATTTATAAGTGTATACTTAAACACCGAATCTACTTTACCACATACTATGCAGTATGTAGTCTACTTTACTGCACATTTCCACACCATGAGGTAAAAAGGTCATGACCAACGGTCACATTGAATGTGACCGATGGTCATGACCAACGGTCACATTGAATGTGACGTGACGGTCATGACCGTCATGACCTGCCGTCATGCGCGCTTGTCATGACCCACTAACATCACTGCAACTCATTAAAAAAATATGTCTTACATCACATTTTTGTTGCAATTTGGCATTTTCGAGTTGCAGCCCAGAAACTCTATCTGATCTTGTATTGAGTTCGCCTTGTATTTCAGTTTGACTTAGTCTCAAATTTCTTGATTCCGTTTTCAAATTTTTCAATTCTTCTTGTACGTTTCTGTACTCAACTTTAAGTCGCTCACTGGCAGTGAAGAGATTTCTAAAGTCGTCCTAAAATGTGATTTAAATAAACCCATAATTTGTTTTTGAATAATTTGCAGTGTTATGGAGGGCTTTAGCCTCTAAACATCAATCGGTGAGCAACGTCTTAACTCAATAAAAAGATTATTTAGCAGCCTACCTTTAGTTTTGAATGTTCACCCCTCAAATTATTCAAATTTATAGCATCAATCCTTAAATTTTCCTTCTCCAGCTCACTATTGGACACTTTTATTTCCAAACAATCATTATTTTCCTGCAAAGCTCTTTTTTCAGATCTCAAATCTCTGTTAACTTTTCTCAAGTTTTCTTGCTCAAGCTTCAGCTCCTCGTATTCACTACTCAATTGCTCGTGTAATGTCCTCAAAGTGCCTTGATCAAGTAAAATTTGTTCTCTTTCCAATTTTCGTTGCTTCTGTTGTTTTGAGAGCTGAAACAATAAATATGCAAAACCAACATTATTATCTATGATTAGTACCTTACCTCATCTTTTTCTGCAACTAATTGACTATTTGCCAATTGCAAAGCAGTCTGTTGAGCTTGCAACGAGTGAACCTGAGATTTTAAAGTAGAAACATCCACTTTCAAAGTGGCATTCTCATTTTGCAAAACATCATTACTGGATTGCAATGTCGCGATGTCAGCGTACAGTTTATCACATTGCTGACTCCATTCTAGGCTTATGGATTTTGCAACTTCTTCGGCCTGCTTCAATGCATCACCCTCCAGGTGACAAGTTTTACAAGGGGCCTCCTTTATAATTTCTCTTTCTTTGAAAACAGATTGGATACATTTGGAAATTTCGGTATTTTGCAAAAGTTTTTCTACTATAATGTTGATGTCATTATCCAATGTGTCCAGATTTAAGCCTAATTTATCTAAACTCGTTTTGAATTTTTCATTGCTAACCTAAAAACGAAGTTAGTGATATAAAGTTTTATAAGTGAAGTAATGTTGCTCACTTTTTCATTAACTAGATCCTTTTGTAAAGTAGCGATAGTTTCTGAATGTACTGAAGCTTGAGAAATCAACTCGGTAGCCTTCTGCTCAAATTCTTGTAGTTTTTCTATTTGAGCTAACAAATTTGAAGTTTCAATCTGTAATTTTTGAATTTCTTTTTCTTGTTTCACTTTCTCCTCAGTATTTTTGTCTAGAACTACTTCTTTTTCCTCCATCACTTCCTTTAGCTTTGTGACCTCTCTCTGAAGACCACTATTCTCTTTTTCTAGGGAAGCTATTTTTTCTTGTAATTCGGAGCCTAGTTTTTCAGCTTGTTTGCCTTTATCAACTTCAACCTAAAAAATATAAAATTTAAAAATTTAGTCAAAAACTAGGCTACTTAGTTACTCACCTGTAAATTTTGTAACTGTTCTGAAACTTGATTCAAACATTTTTCAGCATCATCAGCTCTTTTCTTAACAACATCACACAAAGCTTGCACCCGCTGCTTCTCTTTAGAAAGACTACCAATATTTTTTTCAAGTTCAGTAATTTTCGTTTTTTCATTTTGCAAATCCTGACTTTGCCTGTCAGAAATTATTTTCAATGAATCCATTCCATTTTGAACTTTTCTATTCTCCTGTATGGCATTTTTGAACAAATTTTCTAGCTCAACATTCTGTTGAGTGAGCCTGTCACAGTTCTCTTGCAGTTGTTCAGTTTTCAACACAAGTTTTTTCTTCTCTTTTTCCAATTCTAGAATTTTATGGGCACTTTCATGGAAACTGTCTTCTTTAAGTGAATCTATTGTGCTTAATAATCCTTAAAATAAACAAAATTAAATCCATTATCGGAATAGATGAAATTTTAACACACTTTTATTTTCCAATTCAAGCCTCAGGGCACGCGCCTGAGCGTTGCTAGTCAATTGCTCAGAAAGACTATTATCACCCGAATTTGACTCTTCATTATCAGAGTCTATGGAAATATTTCCCAAACTAGATTCTTGCAATGCAGATTTTGTCACTTGCTGTAGCTGAACATTTTCATCTACTAGCTCTTGGATTTTTTCTCTCGCTGCATCTCTTTCCTAAACACAATTTTCCTTTGAAAATTTTGAGGAACAAAAATCCAAAAACTTACCAAAGTTACTTCATTGATGCTTTGCTTACATGCCAACAATTCTGCTTCCAATTCCAAAACTTGGTCTGCCCTTTGCCTCGCTCTCACCAACTGCCCCTCCAGCATTTCTGATCAAATTTTGTTAATACCCAGAAGTTTAATATAAACTAATAATTGCTTATAGACCGTCAGATAGTGACATATTTAGGTGCCCCATTTTCGCATACAAGCCTCGAAGAGGGTTGAAAAGTACATCGATTTTGAGTAGGATGAAGGTATTTTTACGAATGGCTCCTGGGGATAAAGTATGGAAAATTCGATTTCCCATAACAGAAATGAAAGACGTCCTAGTGCCCATATTTTTTCGCAAGCCGCGTTCACCAAAGGACTAATTAATAAAACCTGGCTTCGTGAAAACAGATAAGGGGGCGTTGCAGGTGACTATAGGTTTGAAATAAAGGCGAAACTTTATAAGGAAAAATCGAGATTTTGGGCGATTTTTCCATACAAGCCCATCGGAAGGATGAAAATCTACAACTTCGGTAGCAGGAAAACATTTTTTTTTTTTATATTTATTTTATTTCTGACCCCTAATCAGATTACAATTAATCTGGCACCGAGGCCTTCAATTTACATTAGAGTAACAGAAAAACAACAAAATTAACAACAATAATAATAACAGTAATAATAACAATTTGAATTTAGGCATGTTTTTTACAGTTTTTTAACACTGTCAATCATTGGTTGCGTTCCTAAGCACTCAACATGTTGAATGATTAGTCAGCGGCTATGTTAAAAACAGATGAAAATCAGCTCTAGGCCAATCAAAACTTTTCTACCTTGTGCATTCCACTAGCTGGAACAAAGCCGCTTACTAATCACTCAACATGTTGAGTGCTTAGGAACGCGACCATTGTCTCTGTCCCTCAAAAACTTCTTTAGGCTATGGTACACAACTTTCTCACATCCTTCAAGCACTGTCTTTGGTATAGTATTATAGGTACATATACTCTGAAAAATAGGAGAGTCACCTTTTTTTGTTCTTGAAAAGGTATTTCTAAGTCTTTCTTTGGTACGTAGGTTGTAACTATAATAGTCTTTATTCTGCTTCAGTTGTATATTCGTTTTTATAAGTCTATTTTGTATTTTATATATAAGTTTCGTTTGTTCAAAGTGTTTTGGGGTTTCTAGTTTTAGGAATGAGTAATTTTCATATAACGTGTGACTTGGTGTATTATATTTTTTTCCAAATATAACTTTTATTGCTTAATTTTGCAATCTTTGCAATTTATTCATTACTTCATTACTGGCATTTACATAGCACGGAATGAGATATCGTAGATGGGGTTCGATAAAGCCATTATATAGAAGGTATCTAGCGTTTTTGCTTAGCATATGATTGCACCTAACATTGGGGCCACTTTTTGTAAAATACTGTCTACATGGACATTCCAAGTTAGATTATCTGTCACTATTAGGCCTAGATATTTATACTGTATAACTTTTTTGAGTATGCAGTCGTTGATTTTTATTTTGGGATTTATTGGTTTCTTCCCCACTTGATGCAACACCATGCAGACAGTCTTTTCCACATTAATGGTTAATTTATTGTAACACAGCCATTGTATCTTCCAAGATCACTGTTTATTTTTTGTTCAAGTTCATTTTTTCTACACCTGAGAAAATTAAAACTGTGTCGTAACAAAATTTATAGTATTTTGCTTTTAACCCTGCATATTAAAGGCTTTGGACATGCAACAAATATTGAAGCGGACCCAAGACCGATCCTTGAGCAATTCCTACGCCTACGCTCGCTTCATCAATCATTGCACCATTGACATATGTTCGTTGCCTTCTTCCTGTAGAATATGAGTTCAATAAGTCATGGCATTTTCCCCGAAATCCCATTTTTTTAAAAAAATTTCAAAAGCAAACCAATGTCCACCGTATCAAACGCTTTCTGTAGGTCGATAAACACTGCTACTACATATCTGTTCTCATTGAGCTCACTTGTAATGTATTCAAGTAGATCTACCTACTCCTAAGGTGCTACTCTGCTTTTGGAAGCCATATTGACTTTTATCAAATTGAAATGTTGCATCTATGAAATTCACGAGTCTTATTTTGATTATTTTTTCAAGCATTTTGCTGAAAGTGCTTAAAAGTGATATCGGCCTATAGTTATTTAAGTTGTCGTGTTCACCTTTCTTATGTACAGGTATTATTTTTGATAATTTGAGTTCTTCTGGGAAGCAGCCATTCTCTATTACATTATTCATTAATTGTACTATCTTTTGTCCTATGATGTCTATTAGTGTTTCTATGTCCTTCTTTGTTATTTCATCCATTCCTGGGGCAGAGTGGTTTTTCATATCTTTTATTATTTCCTTCACTTCTGATAGGTCTGTGTTTCCCAATGTTATGCTCTCTTCCACATCTTCTTCTTCAAAGTTCACTCCAGGAGTTTGTTGTATTTTCAAGGCTAATACATGTCCAATTGTTGCAAAGTGCTGATTCATTGTCTCTGCAATTTTTTGGTCATTATCGAATATGTTTCCATCTTTGTCAACAATTTTGTGAATTTTTTGGTTTTTAATTGAGCCTTTACTACACAGATCATTAATTATTTTCCAAGTTTTCCTACTGTCACCTTGTGTCTCTGTAAATTTTGTTCCTGCATGTAGTTTCTGTAGTTTTATTCTTAATTTATTTAACTCATTTTTCGCGTGTTTAAACTTCCTTTCTGTGAACTCGTTTTGTATTTTCTCCATCTTACATAAAGTTTGCCTCTTTGTTTCATTTTCTAAATGTATTCATTTGTTATCCACTCGTTATTATTTCTTATTTTGATTTCTATTCTCTTTGTACATAGCTTTCTTGTTTCATTAATTAGTTGCGTAAGTTGTTTAAATGTATCTACCTCCCTTTTATTTCTTCATTAATTTTGTTTGTCCATGCTATTTTTTCAAGAAAGATTTTTGACATTTTTTGTTTCGTGTTCTTTATATGGATTTTTTTGATGTTAATATAGATAACTTTGTGATCGGATAAATTGTGGTCTTCTAGTTTCATTGTGCAGTTAATATTCTTATTCGTGATAATATGGTCTAATATGGACTCACTATTTTTTGTGGTTCGTGTTGCATTTTTTAGGTTTAGTAAATTTTGTACTTTGAACCCATTCATTGCTATAATTTGTTTATAATCATTTATAGTCTGAGAGCTTTTTAATAAGTCTAGGTTCATATCCCCTACAAAAATGCACTGACCTTTTTGTTTTTCAAATAACTGATCTAGTTCTGGTAATAGGAGATTGCACTTATTTTTTGGTGGTCGATAAACTGAGTATATTGTTAATTTTTCTTTAGGTAAGTATATGGAGATAATGTTACAATCGTATGCAGATATTCTGTATTTAGTGTTTAATACATAGCTTATCCCATCTCTCACATATATGCTTGTACCCCCTCCCTTAGTTGTGCGACAATCATGTACTGCTGTGTATGATGTGATGTTAAAAAAGCTTTGTTCATTTGGGTAGAGCCAGGTTTCAGTGAGAATTATAATATGTATTGTTTTTTGACTAGTCAATAATATATCTTTGAGATCATTGGTTTTGTTTCTTAAACTTCTTATATTTTTATAAAGCATATTCAAGTTTTCAGTTGCCATTTTTTAGCTTAGGTGGTTTTAATAAGTTACATGTTTTTTTTTTTTAACTTACCATTATTGTGGTGTTACAGTTTATCTAGATCTAGTTCACTTCTGATTCTCACTGGTCTGTCGCTTTCCTGTTGTTTGAGATATACTTCCCCATTTGACATATAGGCTCTATGATATTTCTTTTCCTTCTTTTTTTCTCTGACCCTTTTAAAAAGCAGTTGATTTTGTCTCGTTAAGTCTTCATTGAAGTATATGCTCCCTTTGCCTCCAGACAGGCCACATTCATTTAGTTTAAGTCCCTTGATTTGTTTAATTTTTGTCATTAGTTCATTTTTTAGTGTTGTGCTTTTAAATTTTATTAGTATTGGTGCATCTTCATTGATATTATTTACCCTAAATATTTTCTTGTTTGTCGCTAATAGAATTTAAGGGTAACATAAGTAAAATCGAATTTTCCATCTGTTATCCCCAGGAGCCACTCGTAAAAATACCTTCAACCTACTCAAAATCGATGTACTTTTCAACCCTCTTCGAGGCTTGTATGCGAAAATGGGGCGCCTAAATATGTCACTATCTGACGGTCTATTACCTCTAGTTTCCAACAAGACTCTATTATCCTCCCTCAACTCATCCACCCTCACTTTGTAGAACTCTGAATCTGCTAACCTTTCCCTATACCTTTGTGTTTCCAATTCAAGTCTGTCAACCCTTTCAGCTCTTTCTCTCATAGCATCCAATTCATCTCTATAAGCTTTGGCCTTCCTGGCTTCAGACAAAAAGTCACTGTTCTGAAATTTTGATGAATCTAGTATTTTTAAAAATAGTTTTTTGTTTTCAAATTTAACCAACCTCAGCTTTTAGTTTAGTAACCAAGCTTGTTGCATGCTCCAATTCCTCTTTATATTCTGCTAAAATTTCAGTTTTTTCCTCTCTGAAACATAAAATATATTTAAATTAATAAAAATAGAAAACCCAAACATACAATTCTTGTCTTTGCTTCCTCAATCTAGCTTTCCAATCAGCAAGTTCTACAGCCCAATGATTTGATTCTACGCCTTCTTGACCAGTTTTTGTAACATTTCCACTGTTGACGATGTTTTCTTGGCCTAAATCTATAACCCATTGTTGCAAAAGTTTATCCCTTTCGCTTGTCAAAGCTCTAACATGTGAAAATAATTTTTGAGGAGCTTGTTCTGTCCAATCAGTTGTCAGAACCAAATTTTGCCCATCAGTGACCTGCTTTATACACTCAACTATATTGTGTTGAGCATCAACGTCTAATTCCTTAATTCTAGTGATAAATATTTCTTTTGTAGGACCCTGGACAGCACATCCTAGTAAGAGCAAAATAAGCAGTTTCAATTGTTGCAAAGCGGCATCTGAAGCTGGAGCTCTGCCTGAAAAGTAATTAAAACCATTTAAATATGAATTTAAATTTTGGAATTAATTACTTACCTAGAGTGACACAATCTGGAAGGCTGATTATAACTTGACCGAGTTCGTCTTCATAAATACTTTTAATGTTTTTGATGATCGAGTGGAAAATTTTAATTCTGGCGGCTGTTATATGAAGACCCTGTAGATTGGAAACAGTAGGCACTGGTAGGGACGGTTCCGGATCAATTTGTAGTAAAACTTCGTTTATTGGTGCTCCATCGAAAAATGTTTCATAGACTTGGAGGGCATCTGGTTTCTTCACACATGTAGCAAGCTAGAAGAAAAAAAAAATTAAAGTTGAAAAACCTAATAATTATTGAGAATCAATTCAAATCAGTTCAATTTATTCAGCAGTACAATCAAATTATAATTTCTACAATAAAAAGGCATGTAGGAGAACAAAATAACAAATATTCCAGTACCTAAAAAAAATTTCATATAAACTCCAACCAAGTAAGCAAATGTCATTACTCTTTGGGTATTAAACTGTTTTGAATGGTAGTTTCTATTCTCCATTTCCCCCAGCAACAAATTATAGAATTTTGGAGCTAAAAACACTGAAAAATGCGAGAGGCAGGTTTTTTCTCCATATATTGACCCCTCATCTACATTCAATTATCAAGTTTAGAGTAAAAAATGGTTATACATTTTTCATTTTGTTTAATTTTGCTTGTGGACACTTTAATACCTATAATTGCATAGCCAACTTACACTTCTCTATTAATATTGCGTTTTTAGGTGGGTTTTTAGGGTTTAGTTTACATCACAAGTTCATAGTCTGATAACATCATTTTAAAGATTTAAAAAAAGGCGAATTTTTTGGGACCAAAAAACCAAAAAAATACTGGGTGTCTCATTTAAAAAATACTAAGTTGTAGCTATATCTCAAAAACGGTTCTCTAAAAAAAAATTGACTACAACACTGGATTCTACGTAAAGATATCTATCTATGGCAATTTTTTTTTTTTTTTTTATTATACAATTTATTTATTATACAATATCATTACAATAAATTTAAGCATACAATATGTATACCTAATCTAAAACTTTCATCGTACAAATTAGCCCCTAGATGTGGTAACATCCGTATGGGCGAAACAAAAGTTATACATAAAGAAATGTTATTTATATAATGCGAAAAAAAAAAACATCAAGACAATATAATCATTTGAGAAGAACTCTATAGACCTTCCTACTTTTGATTTAGCTCTCCATAATCTTAACAAATTCACCATAATGCTCTACTATGTATGTTTTTGTCAATTTAGAAAAATAATTTATGTTTCTAGCTTTTATATTATTTGGTAATAGGTTGTATAATTTAGAACCCAAGAAAGTAATGGATTATTTACAAAATTCACTGTAACATCTAGGAATGACTAGATGTTTGTTTGTATTTATTCTAGTGCCATGACTATGATTCACAACTGTACTATTCTCGAGGGGTAGGTCACTCCCCAATTAGGTGTACAAATGTTGAAATGTAATTGAAAAAATACATTTAATTACCTTGCAATTACGTTCAATTACATTTAATTACACTTAATTACAAATAGTTACACTCAATTACAAATAATTACACTCAATTACAATTCAATTACCTTCAATTACGTTCAAATACCGCTCAAATACGTTTTATCAATTATTTTCAATTACATTTAATTATATTCAATTACATTCAATTATATTCAATTACGTTTAATTACGTTCAATTACATCCAATTACATTTAATTACATTCAAATACTTTCAATTACAATCAATTACTGTCAATTAGATATAAATACATGCCCTCTCCATCATCCATCTTCATTTCCAAAAAAAAGTTAATTACATTAAATTATATTCAATTACATTCAGTTACACTCAATTACACCTAATTACATCAATTACATTCAATACGCTCAAATACATTTAATTTTATACCTTCAATTACATTCTCAATTACATTCAATTACAAACAAATACATTCAATTACATACAAATACATTCAATTACAGAAAAATACATGTAATTGAATGTATTTGTAATTAGGTGTACAAATTCTATTGAGTGACCTACCCCTCGACTATTCTTATTAGCAGTTTTTACCTTTTTTCTATCTTAAAGGGTGTTCGAAATATGATTCCACCCCAAAAAGCGCAATATCTCTATCTCATCCTGTATCTTGGGAACGAAACAAGCTGGCACAATTCTGTTTGCGGTATCCAAAGTTTCACGGAAAACTGATGCAGGGTCGTGAAAACCGCAAAGTCCTATCTCTGCTGATTACCGAGAAACCCTGTGTTTACAAGTATGTACATACATACCTACATAAAATGGTGGTCTTTAATTATTATTGTTATTGAGATTACTCCGTCTTTGCCAGGTGAGCAGTTATTTTTCAATTTTCAGGGAATGTATAATTATGTTTAATTAAATCATTTTGTTTTTTATAGGTTTTTACTACATACATAGAATTTGAGGATGGATTTGTTAGTTTCGGTTTTTTCAGAATATCTCCGGAAGTATTCGGAATCTTTCTTGTTTCAAAACGGCACTCTATTGGTCATAAAATTGCGCAACTTTGCCATAATTTAACCGACCCCGTATCTCTTACGGTTATCGAGACTCCAATGATGAGGCTCAAATTTGGGCCACCCTGTACAAGGTTTTCTCGTATATTTTTGCAGCCTTTACCTTTACAGGTAGATGATAGGTGTAAATACAAAAGTTATACAGTTTTGGGTAAATTTTTAAAATCCATGGTCAAAAACAACAGGTGAATGTCAGAAATGTGAAATGTTGCATACTTCCAGCTTTTTTTGAATGGGATGCTCTATATTTGGTTCTATATTCTTCAAGAGCAAAATTTCCCAATTACAAAAATATATAGTTTGTATATATTTGGTTGAGCCGTCTCTTATATATTCAGCTCCAAAAATTGTAAAAATACTATCCTAATTATTGATTTTGTGAACTACTCTGTACAGGTGATAGCTTCAAGAAAAATTTGAGGTACTTGGTGTCTCTGATGGTATTTTTAAAATTTTAAGGACGAAATATGATGGCGACTGCTCAACCAAATATATACAAACTAAAGTTTTTTTTTTTTTTAAAGATAATAGGGATGTTCACTATTTTTCAATTGTAATAAAAAGTGGTGGTATTAGGTCCACAAGCACGTATTAAGCTAGGCGGCCACTGGGAGCGAAACAAAACTTAGCTGTGCTAGACGAAGCTAACGGTAACTTAACTTAACTTAACTTAAGTTTGAGCGGCCACTGGGAACGATTTTCGTTTAGTTCTCAGCTGTGTTTTCATGCGGAAAGGCCTATAAATTTATTTAAAAAGTTAGAATGAGTCCTGTTGCAAGAAAAATGGATCTGTATTCAAAGTCAACATCTGTAAAATCATACTTTTTATGTACAAACACAGTGGAAAGTAAATAAATAATAAATTCGCAGCGAAAAACTTCGTTTGAATCTGACACGAGCTAAAGTAGTAGATAACGAAATAAACAAAAAAATAGTAGATAAGGTCCACAGTTGGCAGATTATGTGAATCGGCCTTTTGAAAACCTTCCTTCATTTCAGCCATAGTACCTTTTCTACCTTATGGCGTTTCCGATTGGTAGATGGTAGATCTAAGGCGAAACTAGTGCAATTTTTTCTATTTCTGTCTTTTTTTTCTACAGGTTGATTAAAAGGAAGCAAATACACTGAGTGCGCACTGAATCTACCAATCGGAAACGCCATTTATAATTTCGATAAACCCTATAACATAGAGATCGACATGAAGGAGATAGCAGCAATATCAAAATACTTGTTAAACGTTAAACAGACTCTCTCGTTAAATTAAAACCGAACCATAATAATAATATTAATATCAATATTCTTTATTGCCAACAAAAATCGCAAAAGCAACGTCACAAAAGGCTGATCCAAGTAGCTAGTAACGCCACTGTACTTGCGCGTGCTAACTCATTACGCATTGTGACCTCAGACAGCGTTTCGTGCGTTTAAACGAATATCAATATTTCCTCTCCGCTTTTCTCATAGAAAGAATTTTCTGATTTTCGTAAAATTTTGTAGATTTACTTATGAAACGATGCTAATAATTTGCTGATGGTTAAACGGAATTTTTTTATTTTGTGAACATTCCTATTCTCCAAGTCAAAAATTAAGTAACTATGGCCGTGTTCGTTTTTGCCATCATTTTCGTCGATTTGCTCCGAACTTTGACAGGCACGTGACTGGATAAGACAATTTCAAGTTACGAATCACGTGCCTGTAAAAATTTCGGAGGAAATCGACGAAAAAGGTATTGCCAACATAATGTCATTTTGACTTTTATCTTTAAAAAAAAACACACACTTTGTATATTTTTGAAATCGGTAAATTGTGCCCTTCAAGAATATAGAACCAAATATAGGGCATCCCCATCCCATTTGAAAAAAGCTGGAAGCATGCAATATTTCACGTTTCTGACGTTCTATTTTTGTTTCTGATCATGGATTCTAAAAATTTAACTAAAACTGGAACAACTTTTGTATTTATATCAACTAATAACACTGTTCGTGGTGAGTTTATTTGATCGTCTTTTACTGCGCATATCTTGATCTTTAAATGTGGTATTTTTTGTTTTATACTTTCAGCCACAAGGTAAATTCTTGATCTATTTAGTCTACTTAAGTATTGCATGATTTAAAGTTCAATTGCTTACCTATTAGTAATAAGAATTGCTTTGTCAATGAAATTTGAGACAATAAAGCTTATTGAGATTGAGATTGAGATATTTACACCTATCATCTACCTGTAAAGGTAAAGGCTGCAAGTAGGGTGCCAAAATATACGGGAAAACCATGTACAGTGGGAATCATTGCAATTGGCACACACTCTTTAAAATCCCTCGTATTAAGTCAAAATTCTAACCAATAAATCTATTTAGTGCAGCATTTTGCTATTACTGTGTGTCAGATTTGACACATTACGAGGGATATTTATATAGTGTGTGCCAATTGCAATGATTCCCACTGTACCTATGCAAAAAGTGATTGCCTTAGGCCCCTTAGGGCCTTGGGGCCAATACTTTTGCTCTCGATTAACGAATTTGATACGTCGTCAAAGTTGTGCAAGGGTCAAAAAGACAGAAATATAAAAAATTGCACTAGTTCCGCACTAGATTTACCAATCGGAAACGCCATTAGTAATGCTAGCATTGAGTTCATAACTATCAACATTTCTAAAATCCCTATACTTATTGTATAAAATGCTTGACGGGTTCAATCTTATCA